TCTTGCTCTCCCACTCCAGTCCCACGCCCCCGCCCACCACGCACACTCGCAGTCGCTCTCGCTCTCTCGCAGCTCCACTCCACTCCACGCCGGCAGCTCCTGCGTGCGACCGGCGGCTCCACCGCTCCACCAAGATGGCTGGTTCCGCTTCCGCGGCCGCGCTGGCGCTGTCGAGCCCGCAGGCCGCAACGGGAGAAGGCGAGCAGAACTCCACCTCGAGGCCGGCGGTCAAGTCACCGACGCCGCCGCTGCAGATCCNCTTCGTCTCGCGTGGGGTGAGTATTTCCATTTCCCCTCTTCTTTATCTGTTGTGGTGCTTTGCTTCCTCCTCCCCATACTATGGTTTGTACGAGTCCATCAAGCACGATTAGATTACAGTAGCGACGAGGGGAGTTTGGACAGTGAGGATTGATTGATTGAGATAGTTGTGTTCTTGTTATTCCCACCTTATTTTACATGGTAGAATTGGTAATTTGTATGTTTCTCTTGAATTTTTGTTGCTGATGACGATTTTCACTCANTTTTTTTCTGTTTATTTTTTGTGCTTTGTTCACAAGCTTTTAGTGATAATGGTAACCATTTCTTTCTTTCTTTTTTTTATTTTTTTTTGCTGTTTATTTTCCGTGGTCATGATCAGAAGCTTATAGACATGGATCATAGTTTTAGTTTGTTCTTTTCTCAAGGCTTTTGAACTCAAATTGTAAACTAAACAAAGTATTACGGAATTGCTGGTGTAACTTTGAAGGGACGCCGCCGCTGCCGTCGCTGCAAAAGGTAAAGCAGTGGTTGGACAGGGCCGCCGTCCACTGCAGGCACGCATAAACAGCAAACGAAGCCGTCTCGCCATTGAAGGAGCACCTGCACCGAAGACTCCTCCTTCCTCCATCCTTCAGAAGTTTAAATCAATGGGGTTTGATTCGATTCACGCTAACCCCTCTGTACTTTGCATTTTTTTAATTGTTGAGTGATAGATACGGATGGATACAAATGGTAAATACAAATGGTTATCTATGAGCGTATTTACCATGTGTACTACTCTGGAAGCGAAGCACGGTCTTTTACTGTCCATGTGTCCTTACGTTTTTTTTTTTTTAGCTTTGCCTTTACNTTTAGCTTTGCCTTTACTAATGTTTCTATTATTTGTGTTGTACTCCAGAGTAGGGAGTTCAAGTATGGCTAGTAGGAGTAGCAGCTTGCCGCAATCACCAAGTTCTGAACCTGAATCTGTCAACAATTCAGAGCCGATTGAAATAGAAGATGATGAGCCAGAAGAAGAGATGAATGTTGGTTCTAAAAGGAAGCTAACCTCTGCTGTTTGGAA